TAACCTTTCCATCGAAGTTCACTTTCTCCGGTACACGTGCTGCCCGGCATAATCTAGTGATTAAGGAAGGAAATAAGAACCTATACCTATGCACTGGACAACGAATGAACATTTCGTCGTGAATAACCTTAGCCACATCAAAATCGTGGCCAATGATAAAGCACCAGATCAGTGCAGCCCGGGGACCATTCACCTCAGTGGTGTTAAAAGAAGGCATCATGCGGCTATTGATGATATAAAGCCAACACTTCCCTTCAAAGGTGAGCGAAGCCAAGTGAAACTTCTGCCCTTTCTTAATCCACACTACATCTTTGTTTGGCACACATATTGTTCTAAAAAACAAATTCCAGGAGGTTGGTTCTCTACTATAGGTGTCATAATAGTCCTCCGCTCCACCAAATACTGGCAACCATTAAGCCCTCTTAATGGCGTCGATAGATTCATCAGCACTCTTATGTCGTACCGTGTAGACATGGTCCATAAGTTCCGAGAAGTTTGCGTAGAACTCTCGAACAACCATTAAATTGGCGTCATCAGGTTCTACAAAGAAAATACCCAGCCCGCGCCGAACCGATTCCTCATACATATTGGGACAATCATTCTGGAGGGACCCCATATCAATTCCCTATTCCTGTATAGGTTTCTTGGGAGCCTTCTGACCAAAATATTCCTGGGCTGAGCTGGATACGAACCTTGTACTGTTAAACTGGGGTGCATTGGTCGAGGCCGACGATCGGGATGAGCCTGCGTGACCACTACAAGAGGCACCTGTGTTTCTTCGTTTCTTGGAGGGCATCATACTACCTGAAACAAATACCACTATTAGTAAAAGGCACGATGTGTGAACCAAGAGCGGTTACTCAGACTTCACCAGCACACTTGGTCACAAAATTACATTCTCAAACTCACTATGGCATTTACAAACACTTGATGTGCACGTTCACCCGAACTCCCCAAATACCCAATTATAACCCTAATTCAACCACAAATATACCAAAGTCTAATCCAACCCAACAAAGTTAAATTCAACTATCACCTCACATACAAACAAGTATACTAGCAATATAAAGAAAAGAAAAGAACAACAATGAATTCTACTACAATACAAAGAAAAAAAAAAGAAAAAAAAGGAAAAAGAAAAAAAACTAACTAAATTAAGCGGGAAACAGAAACATGACACTTACCTGAGAGAACTTGTGAGGATTTGGGTTGGGAAGTGATGGAATATGAGAGATGGGGGAAAGGGTGTAGGGTTTTGATTTTGAAATTGGGGAGAAAGGAAGGGTTTGGGCATTTTGTTTCTTGTGTTTAGAGAGGGGGGTTTTAGATTTAGGAGAGGAGAATGGGGAAAGGGGGGGGGGTACTATTAAAAGAAAAACAAAGAAAGAAAAAAAGAAAAGAAAAAAATAAAAATAAAATAAAATAAACTAATTAAATACCCTACAACACGGCACGGTTCGTGCGCGGCCGCGCATGTGTGGCAGTGAAGGTCCAAAGTTGTGCGGCGACATATGCCGTCAGTGCGCATCCGCGCATGTGTGTCAGTGGGGGTCTTAAAATGTGCAGTCACCAACGCGGTCTGTGCGCGGCCGCGCACGTGTGGCAGTGAAGGTCCAAAAATGTGCGGCCATGTGCATGGTCAGTGCGCGGCCGTGCACGTTTGAAGTATCAACTTCTCGACTTATGCCACTTTTATCCCCTCTTCAAATTGATTTCTTCACCCGAATCATTCCAGCCCGCACACATTCATCCTTGCACATTGATAAACCTGTCAATACTTCCACAATTCAAAATCAAACACGAAAAATAACAAAAACACAAAAAAATAAAATTGAGTTTCCTCCCAAGAAACGCTTGATTTAATGTCGTGACACGATTAATTACAACAAACCCATGGGTTGCCTCCCAAGAAGCGCCTGATTTAATGTCGCGGCACGATTCGGGTTATCCCTTGTCAGGGATCTTTCAAGTACACGGTCGAGATCATTTTATCTTCCTTAACCATGCCCTGGTATTGTTTTAGCCTTTGTCCATTAACTTTGAACTTGCGGGAGCCATCTTACGATGTAATCTCGACGACTCCAGTAGGATGCGTCTCTACCAAACGAAATGGTCCCGACCATCTTGACTTCAACTTTCCTGGAAACAACCTCAATTTTGAACTACATCAATACCATATCTCCAGGTTTAAAGTTCTGCTCAATAATATTTTTGTCATGCATCATCTTCATTCTCTCCTTATATAGTCTTGCGCTCTCAAAAGCATGGTAGCGAAACTCATCAAGCTCGTGCAACTCAGTGACTCTCCTTGTACCCGCCTCTTCTATGTCGAGATTCAACTGCCTTAATGCCCATAAGGCTCTATGCTCCAACTCTACTGGTAAGTGACATGCCTTCCCAAACACCAATTTGTACGACGACATGCCAATCAGAGTTCTGAAAGCGGTACGATATGCCTAGAGTGCATCATCTAACTTTCTCGCCCAATATGTTCTTGAAGCATTCATAGTCTTTGTCAAAACGCTATTTATTTCTCTGTTTGAAGCTTCAACTAGCACACTCATTTGTGGATGATATGGGGTGGCAACCTTGTGGCGTACACCATACTTTTCTAATAACTTGGCGAAGGCACAATTACAGAAGTGAGTGCCTCCGTCACTGATTATTGCCATTGGGGTGCCAAATCGGGTGAATACATTCTCTCTCAAAAAAATAATTACCCCATTTGCATCATTTGTAAGGAGCGCTACAGCCTACACCCATTTTGACACATAGTCCATAACTACGAGTATGTACTTGTTGCCATATGAGTTGACGAACGGCCCCATGAAATCGATTCCCCATATGTCAAACACTTCTACCTCCTGAATTGGGTTCATATGCATCTCATATCGGCAGGAAATATTCCCAGTTCATTGGCATTCATCACAACCCTTCACCCATAAGTGTGCATCTTTGAACAACATCAGCCAGTAGAAGCCCGACTCCAACACTTTCGCAGCTATCCTTACTCCCCCGAAATGGCCACCATATGGTGATGCGTGGCAAGCCTGCAAAATAGAAGATTGGTCTATCTCGGGGATACATCCGCGGATCATGTTATCAACAAAAATCCTTAGCAGATAAGGCTTACCCCAATAATGCATTCGACAGTCATGAAAGAACTTTTTCTTTTGGACAGAGGAAGGGTCATAGGGGACAATACCGCTCGCCAGGTAGTTTGCAATGTCTGCATACCATGGCGCCCCCTCCATTGCCATTGTTAGTAATTGTTCATACGGAAATGTCTCAGTTATATCTTCTACCTCTACCTTCTTTTCAGCTCCCTCATACCTTGAAAGGTGGTCTGCCACTTGGTTCTCTGCCCTTTTCCTATCGCGGATCTCCAAATCGAATTCTTGTAGCAAAAGAACCCAACGGATCAAGCGTGGCTTCGACTCCTTCTTTGCTATCAGGTACCTAAGTTCTGCATGGTCAGTATAAACAATCACTTTTGAACCAATCAAATAAGACCTGAATTTGTCGAATGCAAACATCACATCCAACATCTCTTTCTCAGTAACGGTACAATTGAGTTGTGCACCGCTTAGCGTTCTGCTTGCATAGTAAATTAGGTGCACCAGTTTGTCCTTTCACTGCCCCAGAACTGCTCCTATAGCATAGTCACTCGCATAACACATGAGCTCAAATGATTGCTCCCAGTTGGGTGCAACGATGATTGGTGAAGTCACCAGTCTCTTCTTCAGCTCCTCAAATGCTAACCTGCAATCATCAGAAAAGACAAAGGAATGATCCTTTTCAAGGAGTTTACAAAAGGGGTTAGCAAATTTTAGAGAAATCCTTTATAAATCGCCTGTAGAAACTGGCGTGCCCAAGGAAACTTCTTACTGCCTTGACCGAAGTGGGCGGTGGTAACTTCTAAATCACGTCAACCTTAGCATGGTCGACCTTAATACCCTTACTTGACACTCGATGTCCCAACACTATACCTTCTTGCACCATAAAATGGCACTTGTCCCAGTTGAGCACTAAATTTGTCTCCACACACCTTTTCAACACTCTTCTTAAATTGTGAAGATAGTCTTCGAATGAATCCCCCACCACTGAGAAATACTCCATAAAGACTTCCATAATATCTTCAACCATATCAGTGAAAATGGCTAACATACACCTCTGAAAGGTGGCCAGTGCATTGCATAGGCCAAACGACATTCTCCGATAGTCAAAGATGCCATACGGACAAGTAAACGACATTTTCTCTCTATCCTCAGGGGCTATTGAAATCTTATTGTACCCCGAATATCCATCCAAAAAGCATAAGTGAGACCTCCCTGCCAATCTATCCAACATTTGGTCAATGAATGGTAGGGGAAAATGGTCTTTCCGGGTGGCCGTGTTCAGTTTTCTGTAATCCATGCAAATTCGCCAACTCGTGACTGTACGAGTCGATATCAACTCATTAATCTCATTTTGCACTACAGTCATTCCACCCATCTTTGGCACACACTGAACTGGGCTGACCCAATTACTGTTAGAGATGGGGAAGATGATTCCCGCATCTAACCTCTTTATCACTTCTTTCTTCACCACTTCTTTCATGTTAGGGTTCAGCCTTCTTTGATGTTCTCTGGAAGGTTTGTGCCCATCTTCCAGTAAAATCTTATGCATATAAAATGCTGGGATGATCCCCTTAATATCTGCAATGGTCCAGCCAGTTTCAGTCTTGCATTCCATTAACACCTGCAAAAGTTGTTCTGCCTGCACATCTAATAATCTGAATGAGATAATAACATGTAAAGTGGATTTAGGTCCCAAGAAGGCATACCTGAGGTGAGACGGTAACGGTTTTAGCTCCAACTGTGGTGGCTCTTCAATTGATGACTTAGCTGGAGGTGTTTTTCTTTCTTCTAAGTGTAAGGGCTCGAATTCGAGCTCTCTTTCCACTACCCTTGCCCTTCAAGGGACAAAACCCACTCCGCCAAGTCCTCACCATCCATTTCTTATAAGTTCATGAGGTAGGCTGCTAGAGGATCTTGTCCGTTCAGAGTCTCATCTTCCTCCTCCAAAATCACATCCACAGCCTCTATTAGAGAGCAGTTAGCAAATTCACTGGGTCGCAGCATATATTTCTGCACATTGAACATTATCTCTTCATCGTTCAGTCTCATCTTTAGCTCCCAAGTTTCATAATCAATTAGAGCTCTCCCAGTGGCCAAGAATGGACTTCCCAAAATTATGGGAATTTCCTCGTCAACCCGGCAGTCCAGAATGACAAAATCTGTCGGAAACACAAACTTTCCAACCTGCACTAGCACATCATTAAGTATACCTGAGGGCCTCTTCATCGTTCGGTCGGCTAGCTGTAGTAACATGGATTTGGGTCTTGCTCTTCCAATGCCTAACCTTTTATAAATAGCCAAGGATATCAGATTTATGCTCACCCCCAAATCACAAAGTGCCTTAGCAAAAGCATAGTTGCCTATTGTGTGTGAGATTGTGAAACTCCCTGGGTCAGACAACTTCTCATTTATGGGTCTCATTACAACCGCGCTACATGTCTGAGTTAGTGTAACCGTGGCCAACTCTTGAAAGTCGAACTTACGAGACATCAAGTCCTTCATCAATTTAGCATAACCAGGCATTTCCTTCAAGGCGACAATCAATGGAATGTTCACCTGGATTTGCTTCAACACCTCCATGAATTTCTTATACTGCTCATCTTTTTTATATTTGGCCAATCTCCGGGGGAACGGTGCTGGAGGCCGCTTCTTTCCTGTAATTTGAGTTTGAACCTGCCCGAGCTCTGTTTTGACTGCCTTCTCTTTCACTAACTCAGTTTCCTTCGCAACCTCTTTTTCTTTGCTAGATTCAGCTGGTGCATATTGTACCGTCACCTTTGTTAACCCTGTCGAATCATCTACATCGATTGGTACTGACACGAGTGTTTCAGTTGGTCGGCTTTCGTGAGCAATTTCTTGCTCTAGATCAAGATCTCTACCATTTCTTAAACTCACCTCCATAAGCTACCTCGGGCCCTGATCTTTTGGATTGACATGCGTGTCTGCGGGCAACGTCCCTTGAGGGCGATTATTCAGAGCCATGGAAAACTGCCCTAATTGGATCTCAATGCCTTTTATCGCTGAGTCATGTGCTTCAACCTTCTCTTGCATTTTTTCATTGAACCCAATCAGTTGTTGCAACATTCCTTTAATTTTGGACAACCCATCATCTTGTCTCACTATCTGTTGTTGTTGAGGTTATTGATAAGCTAGTTACTGGTTTTGCTGATTGTAGCCATGTTGCCTTTGGTAAGGCACAACTTGACCCTGTGGTCTCATCTNCTGATTGTAGCCCTGTTGTCTTTGGTATGGCACAACTTGACCCTGTGGTCTCATGGCTCCAGGATTGTTACCATTATTGTACTGCTGTTGTGCTGGTCTATACTGCTGATTCTGCTGCCCCCAATTCTGACCACCTTGCCGCTGTCCTCCATAGTTGGCCACATAGTTCATATTCTCCTGATAGTTCTGGTTGTCACTTTCCGCACTCCACGAGCATACATATGGTTGGTTGATGCATGGTGTACATAAACCCCCATTAGTCGCGTCAACTATGTGTACATGCTGCTTCTGGCCTGATTCATCAATCTTTTTGGTGAGGATACTCATTTGTGTTATCAGAGTGGCCATATTTTCAGCTATGGAGTTTTTTGGATCCAAGTCCACTGAGTGAACAACACGAGTGATCGTAGAGTCTCTTGTCATCCATCTTGAGTTTTAAGCCATTTTATCGAGTAAAATCTTGCATTCTCTGAATGATTTGCTCAAAAATGCTCCTCCTGCTGAAACATCAACATTGGCCTTCAAGTTGTCTGCCAATCCCATGTAGAACATTTTCCCCAACATCTGATCTAGAATGCCATGATGAGGACACTTAACTAGCATACCTTTGAACCTCTCCCACGTTTCTTGTAGTGTCTTTGTTGGTCTCTTCATGAAGCTCAATATCTCGTCAATTTGTTTGGTTAGGTGGGTAGAACTTGTTCAAAAATTGCTTGACTAATTCCTCCCAAGTAGTGATGGAATTTATGGGGAGTGAATTGAGCCAAGTCTGAGCCCCTCCCGTCACCGATAATGGAAACAACAACAACCTTATTGCTTCTGGTGTCACATTTGGTTGCCTTTGCGTGACACATATCGACAGGAAATTTTTTAGATGTTGTTGAGGATATTCAATGTAAGACCCTGAAAACAATCCCTTGTTCTGCAACAAATGTAGCATGTTGTTCGTGATTTGGAATGATTCTGCTTGTATCTGAGGGACTGCAATTGTTGTTGCCAGATTTTCGGCGGTTGGTTGTGCCCAATCATACAAGGATGCTTCTGGTACAAGAGACACCACACCCTGATTGTTTGGTTCATTCGCATTATTTCTGTTGTTGTTTGGAATTTCTATTCCGTCATCCATTTCTGGTTTGATTTGTTCTGTTGAATTCTGTTGTTGTTTGTCTTTCTTGTTCGCACGATTCAATGCCTTGAAAACTTTCTCAGGATCTGATAATGTGTCGAACAATTCACCAGTTCTTGAGGAGTTTCTAGGCATGCACCTGTAACACCCAAGACTACAAACGTAAAAAATTCAATGTATTTAGTTTACATTAGAAAATTGACTACACTAAGAATTCTAGCTCTTCTTTTTGCTCCAATTAATAACACCGTTAATTCCTCGGAAACGATTCCAAAATTTGATCACGTCTAACTATGCCTTATAAAAGGACTAAGCGGTCATTGCAAACATAATCCGGTTTACAAGTCCGGAGTCGAATCCCACAGGGAATTCACGTACTAATCACACTTTTAGTTCAGCAAGAATCCAAATAATCAACTTCCAACAAGATTGAATAATGACTTGAGTGTTTACTAACTAATAGCAAAGTAATTAAAAACTATAATTTTATTACTAACAAAGAAACTATTGTAGATAAGATTAGGAAGATCTAGAGTTACGATTTCCCCTCTTATCGGATGTCATGCCCCGAACCTGGGCCTGGACGTAACACGACACTCGGTGCCTGACTACATGTGACCGAGCGAACCAACTGGCTAGCTGAATCAATATGTGATATCATAACATACTGAATGCGGAAGATAAACTAACACATGCTGATATACTGAAAGTCTAAATGATATAAATCAAATGCGGAAACACTAATATAAGCCTGAAACATATATGTAGCAACATTGCTTAACCTTAAATTCCTGTGACTCTGTCTAACTGTTACTCTAGTCTATGAAGCCTCTAATGAAGCACTGAAAACACTGACTGTCTTAAAATACTGAAGACTGTAAGGTAATGATAATGCCCCAAAAGAACTGGCGATCACCAAATAGCTGGTACGAGAATCCTAGCGCTCTGAATCATCAACCTGTAAATCATTACCTGCATCGTGAGATGCAGGCCCCGGGCAAAAAGGGACGTCAGTACATTTGAATTGCACTGGTATGTAAAGCAACTGAAAGAAAGAATTATAAATACTGAAACTGAAACTAAGCTGATGATTGAGAATTGATAACTGAAATGATAACTATTGAAATTGAAACTAAAATGATAACTGATAGGTGATAACTGATAACTGATAACTGAACAAATGAAGTAAGGATATGAATACTCCCTCTTCTGAATGATGAACCACCTGTTTATCTGAATAAATAAATTGCGGCCTCAGGCCCAATATATATGTGCACAAACTGCGGCTTCGGGCCCAAGTATACGTATACATAACTGCGGCCTCAGGCCCAAAGATGCATAAAGTATAACTACAGCCTCAGGCCCAAATACAGGGGTTCAACATTCAGGGATTCAAAATCAGAAACTGAGAATCACACTACAATACATGATACTGAAATACTGAATCATATTGAATTACATGATACTCGAATGCTTAATAGAACTAGATTGAGACATATATTCATGAACTGATTATGAAAACTGAAACTTCAACTGTTTATGACATGTTGAGTAATCTAGACTGAGACTCATGGGGATCAAACCCAAGTCTATATTGATTACGCACTGATTTCACAACGTTCAGAATGAAAGTCATGAACGAGTTACGAAGCTAGAGAATAGAAGTCCTGCAACTATTCAAGGAACTAGGCTTAACTATATTTCTGAGGAAATTAGTAACGTGGTAAAGGAAACATAGTGTAGGGAGAATTATTAACATTCCCAAACATAGAGAGTTAGCCTCACATACCTTAACTTCCTTCTCTTGAGCATAATACAACATTCGCCAACCCTTTCAGCTTTAATCTATATCAATACAAGTCAGAGGGATTACAAATTAGCAACAATAGTCATGTTTTGGTCACTTAGGCATTTTATCAAACACTTGGTGGCATAAAGCTTCATAGCCCTTATTAATGGTGTTTCTACACCCAATAACCCATTCTCTTGCTCCTAGATAAATTCTAAAGTCTCAAATGGTTATAATCAACATCATTCTTCATCACCCATAAGGTAAACAACACCCTTAACCAATAATCAACAATCAACAACCCAAACCTATAACTATTCATGCTTTTCTATCAAACCCATCAACACATATCTCATGAACTAGAGTCTATAATCATTAATCCAATGTTAGAATCAATTAGAGGGTAAAGACATTACCTTTTTGAAGTTCAATCCCCTTGAATTCGAGTTCTAGGGTTCCTTATCTCAACAATGATGTCCCAATCGAATATCTAATGATATGGAGGTTTTACCCATGTTAATAAGGTATTGGAAAATTAAAATTAACTTAGAATCACCATTAGAACTTACCTTGGATGGTGGAGGGACCCTTAAGGAGTTAGGTTTTTGAGAGCTCCCCTTTCTAGAGCAAGTTTTTGTGTTTTGGGGGTGTGGGGGACGAAGTAGGGCTTTAAAATGGCTCTCCGAGTGCGCCCCCGCGCACCTGAAGTACTGACTGCAGAAAATGGCAGTAACACTGCCACAAGTGCACGGCCGCGCACGGGGCGCGCACTTGGGCACGCATATTGCGCACTATTCTGTAAAACGCACATAACCTTTTTCACAGAGAACCGTTCGGGATCCATAATATATTGTTGGAAAGATATTTCAAAGGCCTACAACTTTCATGTTTTGAGTTTTCCCAAATTCCTTACACAGTTTCACTAAACCCTGCTGGAAGATAGACCTTCTGTAAACTTAGTCGATTTTGTCGAATCTTATGCACCTCACTTTCCATCTTGATTTTGAAACAACTATTTTCACCCATACTTATCCCGATAGGACTTCATATATCTAAAATATCAAATTAATACCCATTTAACATATCCATACCTAATCCGAATGTATGGGGTGTTACATCGGAATCCTCCCTGCTACAAATTCGCCTATATACTCTCTACCGATCGTGAGAACTTTAGGTGTTGTAATTCTCTTCCGAGTAAATACAACAATTTACTAAATGTATTCTTTCGAATTACGCTAGCTAGCACTAGTTTACCACTCACTACAATCGCACCAAGGTTTCGTTATTCCTAAACCCACCTTTAAACCCTCTGTATTGATCCCTCATATACGTTAGGAGTGATGTTGTTCAACAACTACCTAAATGTATACCCTTTTCCAAGTAATACACACTAAATAGGCATAGCCGATTGAGGACCCTTCAATCAACCACAATAATCACATAGTTGAACAAGTAGAGAAAATTCAATGGCAAATTTATATTAAACACAACAAAGTTTCATCCTCCAAGAGGTTCCATCAAACCCTAGAATAAAGAGTTTAGCTACTCATAATTGTTTTCACAATCACAATATAAGAATTCATCATCAATGAGAAAAAAAGGAAGAAAGAAAGATAAAAACTCGTTTTCGAATCTTCTGTCTCGCTCCTTGCATGTTCTTGCCTTCAAAGTTCTTCTAAAAACCAAGATACCCTCTTTTTGGGCGAGCTGGGCTTCATATAGGTCAAGGACGGTCGCATCTGGAATTACAATTTTAGCCCT